AGGTGAAGAGCAAGCTAGGAACCAGAACCCAGATCTGCCTGCACAGCAGTTGCTTTTTTTAAAATGTAAGCAGGCCTGGGAAGGGAAGCACATTAAGTGTCATTGTCATTTACATCTGTTGGTCATGGTATTGCTCAGCTGCCGAAGATCACAGTGCTGAGCTAATGGGGAAGGAGAGGGTATATGTGTGAACAGGATAAAGAGAGCATGGTTTTGGAACGCCAGGGGTTGAGAGAAAGCTGGGTGGCGTGGGTGCCAGAGGAGAATGGGGTGTGAAAGGGAAGTGGGGTGGAGGTCAGAAAATAGACCTTCAGCACTTCCTAGTTTTATTTTTGCAGTGTTTGCAGCTCGACAGGGAAGAGGTTGGTTGGCTCTGCCCCAGAGATGTTGTGTGACCTCTGCCCTTTCCAAAGCCACCGATCCCCAGAGCTCTCATCTCTGCCCCTGGGCTGAGTGCTTAGGAGGAGCTCAGCTGGAGGCAGGCCCAGGGCACTCTGTACCTGCTGGGCAAGTGGAAACTACTTGAAACCTTAAATGGAGCAGACCTTGAAGTCCCCTGGAGCTGCCCAAGGCACAGAGGCGGCCCCACGCTCACAAGATCCCAGTTGCTCAGGCCAGGTGTCACCTCCTCCTCTCCATGCCCAGCCCCTGCAAGGACATCCCTGGATGCCAGGAAAGGAAGGCTGTCTGTTCACTGAGCACCTACTGTGTGCACAGGCTCTTGCTAGGTGCCTCTCACACTTTCTCACGTAGTGCTCACAATAGCAGATGAGGCCGGAGCTCAGGGTGAAGCAGCCTATTGCGTCACCCAGAGCCGCATGCGAATCCAGACTTGGCTGCTCTCGCCTATGCTCCTGTCACCTTGCTGAAGGAATCCCGGCCCGGCCTCACAGCTCTGGGCTCCAGCAGGCCTCCCTCCTCTACAGGGACTTTCTCCTGTGGTGTCCTCATGCTCAGGGGGGAGGATGGGCCCGGGAGGAGGGGTGGGAGGGAAGGCATGAAGGGAGTCGGATCAAGCTCTGGGAAGTCCCCCCTGCTGTCTTTGTCCTGCACCTCTGAGGATAAACTGTCAGTGGGCCTGGGGGTGTTGGAGGGTAGAGCCCAGCAGGACACATCAGCTGTGACAGTTTGAGGGCTGTTGGGCCACTGTGTGTGGGGGGGGGGGGGGTCGGGAGGGGAGCGGGGAGACATGAAAGAGCTCGGTGGGACCCAGACAGGGACACGATGCTCACAACAAACTGTCTGGGACTTTTGGCCACTTCATTCTCACTTCCCCCAAGTCCTCCTGCAGGCCCAAGGGACCTGGGGGGTTTTTCCATGATGACTTCCTCTGCAACACCCCTCCTCTCTGACTGGCTGGTTTCTCCGTCTCCTTCCGGCTGCCCTGGCAGGACTGGGCTTTCCTGGACCCTCACGTGGGTCCTGCACCAGGAACCTCCTCTGGGGGGGCACTGCTGGGGTTTTCGCCCTCGGAGGCAGCAGGCATGGCTGGATTCTCAGAGGCCTCTGGGGTGGGGTCCTGGGATGGGGCGAAGGAGGCTTCATCACAGGGGCTGGGGGCTGAGCTGGCAGCAGGTCCAGGGGCCTGGGCCTCAGGGCTCACCTCTGTCTGGGCCTTACAGTCCACCTGTTTCTGATCTGTGGGGTTCAGCTGAGGCTGGGCCCCAGAATCTGCCTCTGGCTGGGCCTTGGGGTTCAGCTGAGTCTGGGCCCCAGAATCTGCCTCTGGCTGGGCCGTGGGGCTCAGCTGAGTCTGGGCCCCAGAATCTGCCTCTGGCTGGGCCGTGGGGCTCAGCTGAGTCTGGGCCCCAGAATCTGCCTCTGGCTGGGCCGTGGGGCTCAGCTGAGTCTGGGCCCCAGAATCTGCCTCTGGCTGGGCCGTGGGGTTCAGCTGAGTCTGGGCCACAGAATCTGCCTCTGGCTGGGCCCTAGAATTCAGCCGTGGCTGGGCTGTGGGGTTCGCCTGTGGCTGGACCAGGGGATTTGCCTGTGGCTGGCCCTCAGCAGTTGGTTCTGGCAGAGTCTGCCCCCCAAAGTCCACTTGGGTCTGTGGCTCGGCCGGCGTGAAGCTGCCTGGCCGCTCCTCGCAGAGCGCGGCCGCGAAGGAGGAGAGCACAGCGCGCAGCAGGGCCCGCAGGTCGGCGCTGGCCAGGAGGCAGAGGAAGGGGCTGAGACAGCTGTTGAGCAGGATCAGGTAGTCGGAGTAGACCAGCACCTCCCATAGCAGGTAGCCCGGGTAGATGTCCCACAGGAAGGCCAGATACAGCAGCTGTGCCAGCTGGTAAGGCAGCCGCAGGACCACGTAGGCTGACAAAATGGTCTTGGCCACACGGGCAAAGCCCCGGCAGGCCGGGGGTCGTGGCTGGTGGCGGCGGCAGCAGGTCCTGCAGGCAGCAGCCTGGGTGAGCACGTGGCAGACGAGCAGCAGGAGGAAAGGCAGGAAGCCCCCCAGGATCTCCAGCATGCGCAGCGGCAGCTCCTCGCTGTCCCAGAAGTCCAGGCAGATGACCAGGTCATACCACCAGATGACCGCCTCCGGGAAGACCAGCCAGGGCACACTGAAGAGGGTGGCCAGCACCCAGACCCCGGAGCAGACCCAGAGGGGCAGGCGGACTGGGCGGCGCCCCGGGTACCAGCGTGGGCAGAGCGCCAGCAGGCAGCGGTCCAGGCTGAGGGCTGCCAGCAGGAAGAGGCCAGAGGAATAGGACACACCCCACAGGAAGTAGTAGAAGCGGCAGGCCGCCGTCCCCAGCGGCCAGTGCCCTCCGTGCTGGATCTCCATGATCTGGAAGGCCGCTGCCGCCAGGAACAAAAAGTCAGAGAGAGCCAGGCTGAGCAGGAGCAGGGCCAGCCGCGTGCCTGCCCCCTGCCGGGCCTGCGAGCCAGCCAGCCACGCCATGAGCGCGTTGGCCGGCAGCCCCAGGAGCAGCAGGGCCACCAGGAAGACCGTATCCCAGCCACCCTGAGGGTAGTAATCCTCCTCATCGAGCTCCGTGCGGGGCCCGTGGCCAGAGACCCCCAGGTTGGCTTCCATAGCAGTGTCCATCTGAAGTCCCCAGTGTACTGCTGGACAGAGTGGGTGCCTGGTAAATCAATGAAGGCATGAGTGACTGGGTATGAGAAAGTGCTGTGCATCTCCAGGCAGTCACTGTCCCCCTCTGAGCCTCCTCACCACCTTTCGGGTCGTTACCCTATGCCAGGGACTTTAATAGATGACCTCACTTAGTCCTCACGAAATCCATTTTGCAGGTGATGAGAGGAAAATTCAGAGGCTCAGTGACTTGCCCAAGGTCAGAGGTAGGAAGGGAGACACCAGGACTTGAACTCAGACATGACCATTCTGCCACTCGGAATCCCATTGTGTCCAAGTAGACTGAACCAGAGGCTTGATAACATATTTTTAAAGCTGGTGAATCTTTAAGTAAACTTTCTAGTGGAACTCCTATGAACTAAAAGGGAGTACTCAGATGAAAGGAAGGGAGAGTACCCGTAGGGCCCCAGGGAACACAGTTTGAAAACCACTGGGTCAGATCACTGCAGGCCCCTTTTTGTCTGGTATCCTGGGGTTCAAGTGTTTAAGATTCCAAAAAGGAAGGGCTCAGGTCCCCTGGGTACACAGGAATTCAAGGATGACAGAAAGTCTGGGGCTGAGCCCCTCCCCCATCCAGCACAACTCTGACCTCAGGGTGAGGTCTGCAGCTCCCGACCCCAGTGGCCTGGGGCCAGGAAGGCCGTCCTGGGAGCCACTCTTCATCATCCTCCAGCCCCTCTGCGACCCTCTCCCCAGCTCAGGCAGGAGGGGGCCCTCTGAGGCTACTGAGCAGAGAAGGGGGCTCAGCAGTGTGATGAGAACGAGGTGGCTGCCACCCCCACTTCCCTCGCTGGTGGAGCGAGTTTCCCTCTGAGGACAAAAAGCCCTGACAACAGCGTGGAGTCAGGGGATGAAGCAGAGGCCACTGAAACGCTGGACCCGCCTGTGGCCATGGCGCCTGACATCTGGTCTTTAGCCCCGTGGCCTCCCCACAGCAGCCCACCCAGGGCTTTTGCTTGGCAGACCCCACTCTGCAGGCTCCAGCCCCTGCCCATCAGAGCCCTGGCTTGGCTTACCTGTGAGGGATGGCTGCTGGCTGCAAAGAGCAGGGCGTGGTGCCTGGCTGCCCCGAGGTCCAGCCGTCTGCAGGGCCCCACGCCGGGGCCTGCTGCATGGCGCCCGGCGGCGCTAAGGCGGCCGGCATGAAACCCAAGCTGAGAGGACATCAATCATTCATGGGGCTGCTCACCGGGAAACCCTAACCTCGGCCCAGTAGGGCCAAGTGACCAACCAGGCTCCGAATTCTTGAAAATGCCAGATGACTGCAACCTCCTCGCCATGGGTCTCTCCAGCCCAGTGCAGGCGCTGGGACTCCTCGGGGTCCACTCCTCTGACCTCACCGCCACGTCCCTAAATCCAGCATCCAAGGTCGCTCTTCCTCAGTTTCATACACTCTCTGCTCCAGCCAGGATGTCCCCCAGGCGGGGGCCGCAGGGGGCCATTGAGCCTACACTGCCCACCTCCCAGCCTTTGCCGACACTCTTCCTCCGGCCTGAGCTGCCTTCTCTTGTCCTCTCCTAGCAACGCTCTGCCCACGTCACACAACTGGGCCGAGTCCTTGACTCTTCAGCAATATTGCCCCATTTTATAGATAAGACACTGAGGCTTAGAGAGGGGAATTGGCTGGGTCATCAGTGGCCAGTGGGCAGAGCAGCAGTCTGAAGCTCATTACAGCCACCATGTCCTGGCACTCATTGTTGCTGAGAACAGTTCCCCATCTGGCTCTGCCCTGGCCATGCCGGCCAGAGGGCCCCGATTAGGGTCTGGGCTGCCTGCCTCACTTAGCCTAATCCCCTCAGACCCTGATCCCAGGCCATCCGCTCTCAGGGCGTATAAGCAGCTTTATGCGTCCCGAGAGCCAAGGGTGCTTCCTCGTGCTGCATCTCTGAGCCCTGTCGCCTGTCTGCACATGGCCACAGCGCAGGTGAGGGGGCAGCATGGCCCAGCCCGGGCCTCCAGCCCCCGCCTCCAGCCCCCAAAAATCCCCCGTGGGCGTCATGGCTCCCAGCAGTGGTGCTGAGGGACAACCCTTGACCAGGAGGAGAAGCAAGAGGGAGAGGGGGCTCCAAGGGTCCCGGAAAGGCGCTGACAGTTCTGGGAAGCAGACCCCCATCCAGTGCCCTGAGGCCTCAGGGGGCAGCAAGAGCCCCTCGAGGACAGGAGGACAGGAGGAGCCAGCCCCTGCAGCCCCCAGGTCGGCCTCTCGTCGCCAGTCCCACCGGCATCGTCCTGCCCCCTGGCAGGATGCTGCTCAGAAGACATATGGGCCCCTGCTCAACCACATCTTCGGGAAGGTCAGGTGGGGCCTGGGCAGGGCTGGGGGCCTGGGAGTGGGGGTGGAACTTGCCCCCCAGGTTCAGCCTACCATGCCCCTGGAGCTCAGGCCTCCTGCCCCTTCTCCTCTGGACCCTGGGGCAGGGTATCTGGAGTTTGAAGAAGCATAGGTCTTGGGTTGGCCTGGTCAGTGGAGCCAAACCTCAGACCCAGGTTCTGTGAGAACTCAGGACCCCAGGAGCAGGAAGGGGGGTGTCTCTTTTCCTGGGGCCCACAGGTCTTCAGCTGCCTTCTCCTGCCCTTGTGGAACTGGCCCTGCCCAGGCCAGTGTGGGTGGGGGCTGGAGTGGGCTGGCCCTGGGACATGCTGGACTGTGCCCCTGCAGGACCGAGAGCTGGGCCCCGAGGAGCTGGACGGTGAGTGACCTTTCCTGGAGGCAGCGGGTGGGGGGTGTCCCTGAGCCTGGCTCCTGGGCCTGACCTCCCTCCCCTGCAGAGCTGCAGGCCGCCTTCGAGGAGTTTGACACTGACCGTGACGGCTACATTGGCTACCGGGATCTGGGCACCTGCATGCGGACGCTGGGCTACATGCCCACGGAGATGGAGCTCATTGAGGTCTCCCAGCACGTCAAGATGCGAAGTCAGTGCCTGACCCCACCTGCCTGGGCAGCCCTAAGCGTCCAGCGGGGGGATGGGGGTGGGGCAGGGAGATGACAGTTTCCAGGACAGTTTGACATTGGCCCCTTCAGCTGCAGGGACACCAGGGGGCAAGGAAGGCACTGGGCATTCAAGAGAGACCTTGGGGCTCGATGGTGACGGGTTGAAGAAGCCTGCCTCTGACGTTGTGAGGAAATGCCTCCTGCTGGCTGGCCATCTCTCCCCCAGCCCCCCCTCCCCCCTCCCCCCCGTCCCCTAAAAAGAGCCTCCTGAGCTTCAGTGAGGCCTAGTGTGACAGAATCTTGGCCACTCTAGTGATTAAACATAGGAAGGGCGGACACTGTGGTTATCATTAGCTGATTTGTCAAATATCAGAGTCACCTCCCTTCCAGGACACCTGCACCTGCTTCCTCTTTTAGGCTCCAGAGTGGGATGTGACTTACAATTCATGTGGACATTTTGGTTTATGCTCCTTTCTTTCCTCAAAGCTGTTATTTGACAATCGGTGTTTTTTTATAATTGACTAGAGGCTCGGTGCACGAAATTCGTGCACAGGGTGGTGGTGGTGGGGAGGGCGGGTCCCTCAGCCTGACCTGAAACCTCTCCAATCCAGGATCCCTTGGAGGATGTCCAACTTCCAGTTTAGGCCCCAGGGATAGGGCCTAAACCAGCAGTCGGACATCCCTCTCGCAATCCAGGACCTCTGGCTCCTAACTGCTCACCTGCCTGCCTGCCCTAATCACTCTGCCTGCCTGCCTGATCCCCCTAACTGCTCTCCCCTGCCAGCCTAACTCCTGTAACTGCCCTCCCCTGCCAGCCTGATCCCCCTAACTGCCCTCCCCTGCCGGCCTGGTCACCCCTAACCACCTCTGCCTCGGCCCCTGCCACCGTGGCTTTGTCCAGAAGACGTCCAGTCTAATTAGCATACTACCCTTTTATTAGTATAGATGATATCTTAGAGCAAGGGGCAACATGGGTACATTTCTTTAGGGGCATTTATTGCTGCCCACAGGGGTCCACATAAGTGAAAGCCATGAGCTCCAGCCCCGCGAGCACCACTCGGCTCTCTTGCCCCCAGCCTAGGGTAAGGAGGGCAGTTCAGTCAGTCACCCAAGGCCACGCACCAGCGGCCGCAGAGCCAGGGCTGGGACCAGGGGCTGTCTGGTTCCAAAGCCTGGTCTCTTCCCCCGCCCTGCAACCCGGGGGGCTTCACTGAGTGTACCCCCAGCAGACAGTGGGGCTCCAGCCTCCTATCCCCCTGAGGGTATGGTGCTGGGTGTTCATTCTTTCCTGGATGTAGGCAGTGCCAGGAGGGACTGGCCCTCATGCTGTCCCTCCCAGGGCCCCAGCCCCCATGGTGACACTCTGCTTGGGTCTGCAGTGGGTGGCCGTGTGGACTTCGAGGAGTTTGTGGAACTGATGGCCCCGAAGCTGAGGGAGGAGACGGCACACATGCTGGGGGTGCGGGAGCTGCGCATCGCCTTCCGAGAGGTGTGGGGCGAGGCAGCGAGGCGGGCGCTGCGTGGGCGTCTGGACGGCATCCTTATGGGACCCCCACCCAGGCCAGGAGGGACGCAGATCGGGGGGGGGGGGGGGGGGCTCAGCCCGGGGAGGCCCAGAGCCCTGCAGAGATGGGAACCAGGGCCAGGGAGGGGTTGGAGAGGATGTGGCTCCCCGCGCTGGGGGTCCACTCAGGGAGGCTTCCAGGAGCAGGAGAGGGAGGGTTTGGACTATGGGAGGTAGGGCGCCCAAGCACAGCGCGTGGTAAGGTGGGGATGGCTTTGGGTGGGAGGGGCTGAACCCTGCCGCGATCCTAGTTTGACAGGGACAGGGATGGACGAATCACAGTGGCAGAGCTGCGACAGGCCGCACCGGCTCTGCTGGGGGAGCCGCTGGCGGATCCTGAGGTGGAGGAGATGCTCCGAAATGTAGACCTCAATGGGGACGGCACCGTGGACTTCGATGGTAAGTGTCCTGCCCCCACCCGGGTGCCTCCCCCACCCGCCAGCCCCCAGGCTGAGCCCAGCGCCTCCTGGGATCCCTGACCTGGACGGGCCATCTCTTCTGCAGAGTTTGTGATGATGCTTTTCACCCACTGAGGCTCCAGCAGGGTTCATGCCGCACACCCTCCCCCGAGGCCCCAGGATGGAAGAGACCAGCAGACTTCTGCCCCTGACACCACCTGGCTGGCAACTTGGCTTGTCCCCTGGCCACCCCCATCTTCATCTCCTTCCCACCCGAGGTGCTAAGAGAAAACCCAGGTTCAGCTGCCTGTCATTCCCCAGGATGAGCAAGATGGGGGTCTCTCCGGGCCCTCGGCGGGTACGGAGCTACCTGGCACGGGCAGCGTTAAAAAATGGGGCAGTTTTGCCGTGGCAGATGTGGCTCAGTTGGTTAGAGCTTTGCCTCTTATACTGAAAGGTTGCGAGTTCAGTTCCCAGTCAGGACACATGCCTAGTTGTGGGTTCCATTCTTGGTCAGGGCACGTGTGCAAGGCGACCCATGAGGCTCTCTCTCACGTCAATGTTTCTCTCTCTCTCCCTTCCCCCGTCTCTAAAATCAATATGCATATCCTCGGGTGAGGATTTTAAAAAGCGGGGCAGTTTTGGGGGGAAGATTGAGAGGGTGGCCTCCTACTACTTGTGTGTAGAAATGTTTTTTTAAAAAATGCTGAACTTGAAAGAAAAAAGAGGGATAACCTTAGGTACCAAAGACAAAGAGAGAACTCCAAGCTGGGTGATGGGAGGGAGTGGACACTGTGGGGGCTTCAGACCGGAGGGTTGAGAGCCTGGGCTCTAACACCCAGGAGGGACCAAAGACAGTAAGAGGCTGAGGTGCAAGACATGACCCTAAGTACATTCAAGGGTCTCAACAAGGTATCCTGTACTTCAAAAGGGAACCAAAATATACTTCCACTGACCAGCCTGAGGAATTAGCAGGGGTACAGATGTCCAGGGCCTTGAGCAGGAAAAGTTACACTAGAGAGCCCAGAACACAGGCCTGCACGTCAAACAGGAGTGTGGTCTGGCCCCATGGCATGGAAAGCTGAAGAAATAGGAAAGCAATTGCTGAAGAGGGCACACTTTCAACCCTGGCACATAGGACTTAAAACACACACACACACACACACACACACTGTCACTTCTGAAGATGAAGCCAGGTGCTGCCCAGGACCCAGAGGTCAGCTGGGACCTGCCCTTCCACACCAGAAGCTTTTGCATCGATCACCGGCCAGGCCTAGGGACTGACCGCACCCATGCATGAATTTCGTGCACCAGGCCTCTAGTACTGAGATAAAAGAAGGAAGAGAGACCAATATGCAGGATAGTATTAAAATTGAACAGGGAGATTTCAAAAGCTAACAATAGAACTTCTAAAAATAAAGGATATAGCCATTGGAATGAAAAAAATTATCAATAAGTTAAACAGCAGATTAGAAGCAGATTAGAGAGGATTAATGAACTAGAAACTATTACCTAAGAAATCACCACTAAGGTAGCACTGAAGGATAAAAAGATGGGAAAAATTTAAAGGGTAATTACAAGTCCTTAGGAGTTTCAAAAGGAGAAAACAGAGAGAAGGGCATGAAGCCATATTCAGAGAGATGAAGTTTTCCCACAAAGACAAGTGCCCAGACTGAAGGAGCACATGGGAGCCAGAGAAGAATAAATAAAATTAAATGTATATCTACCCGGAAATAAACACATATCCTTTATCTTCTCAAAAAAAAAAAAAAAAAAGTTAGCTGCATCTCAGTGAAACTGCAGAATACAAAAGGAAAGCGAAAGATATGGGTTCCACCCATATCTCGCATTGAAGGGATGGCTCCTGTGAGAAGGAACTTCCATCCAGAATGAAGGCAGAATGTGTACCAAGTAACAGTCAGGAAAGAAACCAGGAAACACATTGGTGGATTTAAAGAAGCATTTACTTTACAAATTTTATTTGGGGGATTTAAAAACAAGAAGGGACTGAAATAATAGACAAAGCAAAATGGAAGGCGGGAGGGGAGGCTTCAGTTTTGTTGTTGTTGATCCTCACCTGAGGATACTTTTTCCATTGCTTTTCTGAGAGAGTGGAAGGGAGGGAGGAACCCTTTGACAGACCCCCAATCAAACGTTTAAAGTTCTAATGTAGCCCTGCTGGTGTTGCCCAGTGGTGAGAGTGCCGGCCCGAGAACCAAAGGGTCACAAGTTCAATTCCCAGCCAAGGGCATGTACCTGGGTTGCAGGTTCAATCCCTGGCCCAGGTCAGAGTGCGTGCGGGAGGCAACCAGTCGATGTGTCTCTCTTACACTGAGGTAGATAAAATAAAAACTAGAAAAGTGAAACAAAAAACAAAGATATAAAGAATCAAGCCACAGTTTGTATTACCAGATTAATCAGACATAAAATTACATTCCAATAAATATAATCAGAACAAACATGGGGAAAAAGAAAGCACGAAAACTAGTCTAAATGTGCTTTCTAAGACCAGTATGACCACAACCAATGGGATATTCACAGTACAATCAATAGGGTATTCAATCGAATGGGGTGATTTATATAATTCAGAGAATCAAAATAGCTTTTCTATTATTTTAGCAAACAAATAAGTACAGAAACCAAACAGCAGGGTTAAAGTTAAACTATAGTTTCTACCTGAGATGATTGCTGCCGTACTTCAGCTCCAGGGGTGGCATATGTTTTCTGTAAAGGGCTGGATAGTCAAGATTTGAGGCTGAGGAGCACATTTTCTGCTGCAGCTGCTCACTCTGAGGTTGTAGTCTGGGTCACCAAGCAGCCAGAGTCTACACATAAACAAATGAGTGTGGCTGTATTGGAACTTTAATAAAGAATTAATTAAACTTGATTTATTGATCAAGGAAGTTTGAATTTTATAAACTTCTATGAGTTCAAAAATCTTCTATTATTATTCCTTCACTTTTCCCAACTGTTACAAAAATGTGAGAACCCTTCTTAGCTTGGGGGCTCTGTTGGGCCTGTGGACTACAGCTTGCTGACTCCTGAGTCTTGTAATATGGAAAATCACCATTTCTGAGGAAACTTTGCTAAGATTGTGGAATAACAAAAAGTTATGAGCATAGTGTTGCTTACTTTCAGTGACTAGTTTTCGTGCTTTCTTTTCCCCCATGTTTGTTCTGATTGTATTTATTGGAATGTAATTTTATGTCTGATTAATCTGGTAATATAAACTGTGGCTTGATTCTTTATATCTTTGTTTTTTATTTCACTTTTCTAGTTTTTATTTTATTTTCAAGTATTGATTCATGACAAAATTAGAAATGAAAATTGCTTTTCATTTCAGCTAGTTTAAGAACCAGTGACTTAGGAGTTCCTGCATCCCAGCGGCGCTCCAAAAAGTGTCTTGACTAGGGGGCCGCAGGTTGGAAGTGTGGGTTGGCCAGGAGAACAGGAGCGAGAGCAGGGGTCTGGGTGTTCATTTTCCCCCCCAAAGTCACAGAAATCCAAAGGCACTGTCCTGGCTGCTGCATACATAGTGGAGGCCAGACCAAGCCAAACCCCTAATGGCACTCATGTTTTCCTGGGACACAGACTGTAAACATGGAATTACATGAACAGGGTCTCCTCAGCTCACAAGTGTTCATCCAGCCCTGAGGTTGGCCAGTTGGTGACCACCAGCTCAGTGCCCTTCTCTGCCCCACTGGTGCCATGGAACCCTGGCTATGACCCTAACTTTGCCCTTGGGTGAGTCAACCTCTCTGGGTCTTTCATCTGTAAAATGGGGTGAGGAAGTGAGGACCAGAAATAACCTGTATTAAGTGCTTAGCACAGGTCCCGGTGCCTTCTAAGAGTTTGATAAATGGTAGCTCTTATGATCTCAGATGTCAGGTTCTCAAAGATTTTGTTTCCTTGTTCTTAAGATTCTGAGATATTTGGATTTTTCAAAATCCTGAGACGGCCTGTTCCCAATGTTCTGTGGTTCTAAGAGTCTTTGATCACCGAGCTCACTGTCCAAAAGCCCTTTTCCCCTGTCCTTTGTCTCCTATTCCTCCCAGCCCTTGGGCCTAGGAAGTAGGGCAGTGGGTGGAGGGGGCTGGGCTGCTGCCTTGTCATGGCCCACATTCAGAGCTGGCTGTGGCCGCCCAGGGCCCCAGAGCCAGGCTGGAACCAGGGTAGCAGCCTCCAGGCCCCAGGCCTGCGTCATCGGAGTGCCCTTGGCCAGGACAGGAACTAATGCTGCCCCTACAGGTGGAAAAAGGGGCTGGGGCAATGGGGAGGCTGGAAGAGGCCCCCCAGGCTTTCAGGGCCGAAGAGCCCGAGGATCCAGCTCTGCCCATAACGCGCAGCGGGCAAGTCTTGGAGCATCAGGGCTGCCCTGTGCACAGTGCTGGGAGGGGTGGTCCTGGCGCCCTTCAGTCCCGGGGGCAGCCTTTGCGGCAGGGGCTGCGGGCAGGTTGGAAGGAAAGAGCAATTCTTCGCTGGATAGAGGCACCCCTTTTATTAGCGTACACCACCACTCAGTAGTCCCAGGGCCCGAGGATAAGTTAAGGCACAGAGCAGGCAAAGGGCGACTTTCCAGGCCCAGGTAATGGGCGCAGGGTCGGCAGGCCCCAAACTTCCTGAGCAAACTCCGGACTGGACAATGGCCGAGAGCGCCCCCTGGGGACGAGAGGAGGCCGGCGGGGCCGACGTGGATTCCTGCTGTCCGGCTGTCCATTGGCGGCTCACTTCTCAAAGTAGGGCAGGTAGAAGAACTGGAAACCCCGGTGGCCCTTGACCGCGCAGTAGATGAAGATCACGTGGTAGACTGTGGGCGGGGCCAGTCAGCGCCTGCGCTCGCCCACCCTCCCAGGCCCGCCCCGCCCCGCGGCCCCGCCCCCACCCCAGGCCCCGCCCCGCCCCGCCGGCTCGCACCTCCCGGGACCAGCAACAGGAAGCCTGGCACGAAGAAGATGGCGCTGGAGACACCTTCGGGAGGAGAGGAGGGGCCAGGTCAGGGCAGGGAGGCACCTTCTGGCTGGGAGGGTGGTGAGTAATGGGAGGGGAGCGGGCTTGCCAAGGATCGCTGGGCACAAGAGGAGTGAGCGCGGCCTGCGGAGTGGGGGGGCGCTCACCTGGTGAGGGGGCCACCTCCAGTCCCACGCCGACCAGGATCAGCACTGCACACAGACGGGGCCGCAAGGGTGAGGGCGGGAACAGGGGCAGGAGCTGGGACCTCCAACCGCAACCCCCAACATGGCTGAGGCCCGAGGAATGGAGCTCCCCCACCTGAGCTGAAGGCTCCTGGGCCGCTCGCCAAACTGTTTTCAGGGCAAGGGCCCTGGCAGGCCCTGGGAAATGTCTGTAAGGAGAGACTTTGATCTGCTCCTTGGTGTGGTCTTTGCGTCAGTCAACAAACATTTTGGAGCACTTGGTATTGGGAATCCCTGGGGGGTGCAGGGGGAGGCAGATGAGGTCTCTGCCCTCATGGCCCTTCCCTAGTAGAGCGACCAACAAGAACCTCCAGGCTACTGCCCCAGTGGTTAGGATATGTGGGGTCAGAAGAGACAACATGGGAGCCTGGGGGTCAAGGAGGCGCTTCTTGGAGGCAGTGGCGCCTAAGCTGAGCAGGGGCAGCAGTAGCAATGGCAGTTTACGTTTAGCAGACACTTTCCAGGTGCTGCCAGACACTGGGCTAAGTGTGTTACATGCACACTTTGTCACCTTGACCGAATGAGGCATAGATTATGCCCACTTCTCAGAAGATGAAACTGAGGCACAGAGAGGGGAAGTAACTTGCTCAGGGCTGCACTTGGAAGGGAGTGGCATTCTGACTAGACGTTTTGCTATGGGTGTCGCGCAGGCAGAGAGGGAACAGTCTGGAGGAAGCCTGGGCTTTCTAGGAGCTCCCAGCTTTTGGTGAGACTGCAGAGACAAGAGCCCAGGCTTGAGGAGTTAGTTGGCAAGGCCTGTGGCCCGGGGACGGCCGTGGGCTTTGGCTGAGGACAGTGGACGCTGGGGAAGTGGACAGGTCAGGCTGGATCAACTTTTCAGACCGAAAGAGTCCTGGGCCCCCAGGTGTAAGGTGGGATGGGGAGAGGTGAGGAGCTGGGCTCTGCAGCAATGGGGTGGGGGGTACGGCACAGAGACTTGAGGAGCCTCTATGAACTGTTATGTGGTTTTGCCCTGTACAGAGCACCTCAAAAAGGATTTAATGGGGGCTGGAACTCACTCCCTGCACCCTGGCTTAGGGCTGTGGGCTCTGCCCACTCAGAGTAGGCATCTGTTTCTAATTCCTACAAAGGCCCTTTATGGGAATGTCAGGCCTGGCGATGTCATTAATGTGGGTTTAAATCCCAGCTCATCTCCGTCTTAGCTGTGACCTGAGAAAGTCCCTTCACCTGCCCGAGTCTGTGTCCTTTCTGGACTGATCATCATGCCCGCCCTGCTGGGTGTTGAGAGGATAAAATGAGGTAAGGCAGGTGGCTAGTGTGACCAGTGCTCTGTGTGCCAGTATTGGAGAAGTGGCAGCTCCCTCCCCTGCACACAGACTCCCAGAGCTGAGGCAAGGATGCTGCTCGACTTTCTGTCCAGGTGACGTGACCTTCCTGGAGGAGGGAGGGCAGCGGCCACAGTGGGAGCCTTCTTATGGGCCCCTCTTGATCCCAACCCTAGAACGTTTCTGGGGACCCTGACTCCTCAGCCCCATTGAATGAAAAGTGAGGAGTCAGAAAACATCTGGCTGTGAGGTCTGCCTGCTCTGGGCCTCAGTTTTCCTATCTGAGCAATGGGGGTGGGGTGGGGTGGAAGAGAGGTTCTCATGAGCTCTCAGACTCCAGAGAACTGGGAGTGACAGGTGTCCTGTGGATCAGGCTGGCAGGGCACTCAGCATCCCTGGCCCATGAGAACGGGCACCTCCCTGAGCATTGGGCCCTACACACAGGTTCTGGGTGGCGACCCTACCTCTTCCTGGCTGTGTGACCTCTGTAAGCTGAGCAAGATAAGCCTGCCCTGCGCCTGGTTCGAAGCAGACACAGAGTAAATGGATTAAACAGGCCACGTTAGAGAATACAGTTTGGAACAGTGAACAAGGTTCCACTTTCAACTTCCTGTGATTTCCTGGCTGTGTGATCAGGAGGCTGGGCCTGCCTCTCTCAAGGCCTCAGTGTCCTCACCTGTAATGGGTGGGAGGGGGGGTGATGGCAGCCAGCTGCCTCCTCAGGATGCTGGGAGGCTCTGTGCCAAGGGAATGCAGAGCCTGCAGAGGAGGGCGGACTCCTCCCAGGGGCTCAGGGACACTCACCCAACCCCAGCAGCAGCAGCAGGAAGGAGGCCAGCACTACCTTTCGGTTCTTCTGGATCAAAGGGTGCTGAGTCCAGCTGGGGAGCAGGAGAGCAGGTGGGTGTGAAAGGTGACAGGGGGCCCACCCTCCCTGACCCAGAGGGCTGTCTGTCCTGGGCTCTGCCATGGGTGGCAAGGAGGTGGGGACTCACCTGCAACAGGCATTGTAGGAGCGCTGGGTGCTGTTGCTGATGGTACTGAAGGACCACTGGGAGCTGCGGACAGAGGATGTTCGGCCAGAATCCCTGCAGGACAGATGGGCCCAGTGGGAGGGAAGGGGAGGCATGATCATGTGGCTGGGGAGGGAGAGGGACTAGGGCTGGGTGTTCCTGTAGGGTAGGGGGCCCTGTCAGGGATGGGATCAAGGGAATTCAAGGGCTGGGGGGGTTTCTGCAGACTGAGGTGGAAGGTTGGGGGTTTGAGCTAGGGATTCCTGCAGGACGTGTGACCTGGGGGAAGGTAGGGGCCAGACCAAGCTGGGTTTTCTGCAGGATGAAGAGGCTGGTGGGGGTGGGTGGGTGAGGCTGGCACTAGGGTAGGGTGACCCTGCAGGACAGGGAAACCCAGGAGAATGGGGATCACAGGCTAGGGGTCCTTGTGGGATAGGGTGTGAGAGCTGAGTGGGCGGAGGTGGACTGAACGGGAGCCAGAGGCACAGCAACAGGGGTACAGGGTGGGTCCCCACCTGGCCCTGACCTGGTGTTGACTCCCCCATCTGGCTCCGGAGACACCTGGGTTCCTTCCTCATCGTTCTCCAGGTTCTATTCCAGAACACAGGGCTCAGGGTCACTGCTCAGGCCCTTCCTCACTCCCCCTGGGCCGCACAGCTGCCTGCCTGCCTGCCCCCTCCCCCGCCCACCTCCCGGCGGAGCAGAACGGGTTTGTGAATCATCAAACCGAAACCAGGTAGTGGGTGGGAGCTGGAGGCTCTGGGGGCAGGAGCGCAGGGGCGGGTGGAGGGCTCCCAGCCTCCAGCGTAGGTCCCGGGGCCAGGGGCTAGCCCAGGTTTGGGGGCCAGGGGGCAGCTGTTGGGGTGGTATTTCAGAGGCTCTGGATCTGGGGTGCAGGGAAGGGCAGGCCCGTGGTTTCCCGGTTTGGGGCACAAGAATCTGGTCCAAGTCTCCACGAAAAGGATCCTAGGGTTGGTGGAGGTCACCTGGGAAAAGGGGGATTTCCAGCTGGAGGGAGTCGAGGTGGGCAAGGGCTCCTGTGAGCGGGGGGCGGAGGGATGGAGCCTTCGGAACAGAAGAGGGGGCGCAGGTTCCTGCCAGAGCATCTGGTTGCCCTGAACATGGACGAGGTCTGGTCCAGGCACCGAAGGGCTCCCCAGCTCCTTCCTCACATCCGAGGAGGGAGGGGGCGGCGCCCAGGGAGGGCGAGGCCCGCGGCGGGGCTGGGAGGGCCCCCCCGGGGCCGGTCCCTGGGCGCTCGGGTGGCGGCTGGGGACCAGCATCGGAGCCGAGAGGGTCTGGGCCGGGCTCCATCAGGGGCCGCGTCGCGGGGCGGCCTCCCACTCCGGCCAGGGCCTCGCGGCAGGTTCTCCCAGAGCTGGGGTCCTCCAGGTCCGGCCGGGGTCCCGCCCGGAGCCGGGCGGGGGTGAGGAGGGCCGGGCCGGTCACCTGGTAGCGCAGCCGGGACTGCTTGTCCTCGTCGGCCGCCTCGAACCGCGCCCGGCGCTCGAAGTGCAGCGGCCCGAAGCGGGCGACCCCGCTGGACTCGGGCCCCGGGCCCGCGTCCTCCAGGGACAGCTCGAAGGCGTCATCGATGCTGAACTGGGGCCGGGCGGCGCTCATGGCCCCGCCAGGTCCGGCGCCCCGCGCCGCCGCCACCCGCGCCCCTGCCCGGCTCGCCGCGGCCCCGCCCCCGCACGCAGGCCCGGCCTCGCGCCGTCGTCTAGGGAGCCGGGCGCCGCTCGCCGAGGCCCCGCCCCCGCGCTACGCCCCGCCCCCGCAGGCCCGCGCTGCCGAGCGCCGAGCTGCCGAGCGGGCAGGGCCTCCTCCGGTTCGGGCCGCGCTGGGCCCTAGCGCCGCCCAGCGGCCGCCTTCGCGAACAACGGCGGGTGCCGGGTTCCGACGCCGCCCCCACGTCTGTGCCGCGGGCTTGGAGGGCTGCCTGCCGGGCGCCATCCTACCGGCCCCAGGCGCGGCCCTTGCATTCCAGCCGCTCCTTCCGCGCCAAGGAGCCCGAAGGGCACCGCTCCGCACCCGTCACCGGGGCCCTGCACGGGCGGGCGTTCCTTCTCACCGCCTTGCATCCGTGCAGACAGGCTCGCAGAGTTCAGGTGGCTCCCACTCGCCTGCAATCCACTCCACCCCGCAGCCAAACTGTTCTTTAAAAACATACCTGATTCCTTTCTCGGTGCGTTGTTCTTAAATAAAACTTTTTTAAAAAGCGTAAAAGCAAGCATGCTGCGAAGTCACTCCTCTGTAAAACTCCCGTGGCTTTCCATGGTGGTTAGAACAAGATCTGACCCCCTGGCTCAGGCCCACAGGCTCTGAACACTCTGGCCTCTGCCTGCCTCCCCCAGTCTCATCAAGTCCTCCTCTGCCCCCTTCACCCGCCTCGGCCTCGGCCTTGCAGGCCAAGCTTATCCCACCTCAGGGCTCTGCACCCGCTGTCACCTGCGCCTGCAAAGCACCCATCTCTCAGGGAAGCCACGTCCCTTTCCCTGCAATGTAGTCCGTTTCAGTTTCACATCCAGCACTTACCTTGAATTACCCTTTTTCTCACCGCTGTGTCTGCAGTGCCCAGCACAACGTTGGGCACCAAGTACATGCTCAGTAAACGTTTGTGTAAGACACGAATGTGGGCTTTGTTAAGATCCCCAGTGCGTGCAAGGGGGAGAAGGGTGTTGGAACGCAGGCCCCTGGCTCCAGGGGTGCTCATCCTCCTCCTCCCGGCCACCCCACTTTATTCTGTTGACACGGAGCTGAGTCAGTCATGTCTGTGTGTGACACATCATCACTCTGAACCATTTCCCTCTTCCTCTCCCCGTCTTCCCTCCGTCCGTGGGCTCAGCCCGTTTCCTGGAAGCCTGCCTGGCTTTCTACCACACGTGACACTGGCTCTTCTTCTGTGGATGTGCTCCCACGTCACCAACATGGTGTCACGTATGACACTCATTCTGTTGTGGACATTTGTGCATTTTTACAGTCGATACCAATGTCCTCCACATGCATCTCCTTTGTTGCTTCTTCTGGCTGCCTGTTGAGCGCCCAGCGCTTTTACTGGTATTGTCCGCCATCGCCGCCAAGCGACCACACTGGGCCCCCCCCCCCCCCCCCAGGCCCCCATCACGTCACACACATCACCGCTAGCGACGTCGTCACAGGGTCCGATAGGGGCTGTCGGAGAATTCTGCTTGAGGCAGGGCTCCTAGGCCAGAGCGTCCTCGCGGCCTGACTTCACAGAGTCCCGCAGATGCCGAGTGGTGGTGTGAATCTGCACACCCGCGTTTTAAGTGCACGGTTCAGTAGTGCTAAGTACACGCTGGTGCACAACCAACCTCCAGGACTCTTTCATCTTGCAAAACTGAAACTCTCTACTCTTTCAACAACTCCCCCCCCCCCCCCAACCTCCTCTCTGTGAATCTGACCACTCTAGGTACCTCATATATTTTAAAAATATGTTTTTATTGATTTTTTTTTTCTTTGAGAGGATGGGATAGGGAGAGAGAGGGAGCAACATTGATGGGAGAGAAATACTGATCGGTTGCGTGTCCTGACTGGGAATCGGACCTTTCAGCGCATGGGACAACACTCAAGCGAGTCGCACCGGCCAGGGCGGCCAGGGCAGTATTTCCTATTGTTCCCAGAAGGGGGACCGGGCCCTGAGCTGGTCTGCCCAGGGCAGGCGGCGGTGTGTGGGTTCTTGCCTTCATGCAGGTAAGATTTCACAACGTGAGCGTAGGTGATTTTTAGAGGAAGTTTATTAAAGCTGGGGACAGTGAAACAAGGAAGGATCTAAGACAGAAGAAGCAGCAGGAGAGGTTCTAGGTGGGGAAGTGAGCCGAGGGGGGGCTGCTTTGCTCACTAAGAAGTCAAAGAAAAGGGGATCTTGGGGACCAGTTCAGTGGGTTAGTCTGGGATGAGCTGCCACTGCCCCTTGCTCCCTGGTTGCCAGCCTCCTGGAATCCCAACAGTTTAGGAGGTGCATGCCTGTGGGGGAAGAAGTGGGGGAAGGGGAAGGCAGGGGAGTGCTCCTAAGAGGGAGAACATGAGCTAGGAACAGTTTTATGAGGGTTTTTAAAAGCTGGGAGTTTAAGGGAGGATTAATAGAAAATTCATCAATTTTATGCTGATGTGCCAAAATAAGATTTATTCCCTTAACTTCATCTGTCCTTGGATGTGGTTGGCACAAATTGGATTTCTGCTATTTCCCTGAGTAGGGTAATTTAAGCTATTTACCCTCCTGTCCTGGAGGAGAAGTGCAAACCATCTACTCTTTTTTTTAATATATTTAAAAATATATTTTAAAATATTTTTATTGATTTCAGAGAGGAAGGGAGAGGAAGAGAGAGATAGAAACATCAGTGATGAGAGAGAATCATTGATCAGCTGCCTCCTGCACTCCCCATACTGGGGATCAAACTTGCAACCTAGGCATGTGCCCTGACTGGGAATTGAACTGTGACCTCCTGGTTCATAGGTCAATGCTCAACCACTGAGCCACACTGGCTGGGCCAAATCATTTACTGCTGGGGTCCAACCCCAGCAGGTCCAGGGGTCCCCAAAGGTGTGGACGGAGTCGGCGACGAAGGAATGACACGGAGGCAGCGTTCAGTTGATCAGCATGGTTGGGTTCTCTAGCCAGGTTCAGTCACCAGGTTCTAGTCAGGTTCTCTTGCCATGTTCTATCCAGGTTCTGTAGCCAGGTTCTGTCTCTAGGTTCTTCAGCCATGTTCTCTCGCTAGGTTCTGTCTCTAGGTTCTGTCTCCAGTTTCTGTCCAGGATCTTTTGCCATGTTCTCTCCAGCGAAGTTCTTCTGTCTCTAGGTTCTGTGTAGGTTCTGTGTCTAAGTTCTTTGTCCTGTTGTCTTGTTACATCTGTATTTATACCAGTTGATTCCAATCCTATCAATCTCTATTCCAAAGGTTAGGGCGTTTCTTATCTCCATTCCAGGGAGTAAAGATTATGTAGCTTAAGCATGATTGTTCGTAGTTAGTGATTAATTACCCACCTGGCACTTAGTTAAGGGGTTTTATTCCCTCCCTAACTTCAGGGGAAAATCCCTACCTGGGGAAACAACCTTTCTCAGAGAGGTGACCTTGGTTAAAACACATAGTGCCAAGAAGGTGAGCAAACATATTAAGAACAGTATGCCATATATGCCAGGTCCCTTGAAACACCAAGGATGGACTGGCTCCCGGCAATTTACTCTTTTTGTTGTATTGTTCCTCACTGGAGGATATTTTTCCATTGATTTTTAGAGAGAGTGGGAGGAGAGAGACAAAGAGAGAAACATCGATGTGAGAGAGACATGTGGATTGGTTGCCTCCCGTACACACCCCAACCAGGGCCAGGGATTGAGCTTGAAACTGAGGTACATGCCCTTGACCAGAATCGAACCTGGGACCCTTCAGTCCATGGGACGATGCTCTAATCACTGAGCCAAACCTGCCAGGGCCAAACCATCTACTCTTAAGTGTCCTTGGTTCCGGGAAGATAGGATTTACTAGATGCTGCAAACTGCTTGCTTCCCTGTCTGTCTCCGTTTCCCTGTTCCTCTTGTCCTAGCTTATTGGCCTGTCCCAATAGAAATCATAGTGTCTCCCTTTTTGTGAGTGACATTCATTTAGATATTGATGCATTTTATATACACTAGTGCACTGGTCGGCAAACCGTGGCTTGCGAGCCACAGGCGGCTCTTTGGCCCCTTGAGTATGGCTCTTCCAGAAAATTCCACGTGCGGGCGCACACGTACAGTGTGATTGAAACTTCGTAGCCCATACGCAGAAGTCGGTTTTCGGCCTGGGCAAGTCTATTTTGAAGAAGTGGCGGTACGTTCGCTGAGGTCGACCCCTCAGATTGAGGGCGTTTTTAGCCAAGGCCAGCTTAGGAGGACCCTAATGAAGTTAATAACAATGTAACTACCTATATAGTTTAAGTTTAAAAAATTTGGCTCTCAAAAGAAATTTCAGTCGTTGTACGGTTGACATTTGGCTCTGTTGACTAATGAGTTTGCCGACCACTGCACTAGTGGATTCAAGTAACTTAATATTTCATTTAGAAATTTTCATATCTATATTTATCAGTAAAATGTATAATTTTCTTGTCTTATGGTATATTTAACTGGTTCAGAAATCAAGATTAAAGAAGGCTTGTAAAATATGTTGGTCAGCTTTCCTCTTTTTCTGTTTTCTGGAACAATCGGTATAAGATATAGACTACTTGTGGCTTCGAAATTTGGCAGAAGGTGCCCGGCTGGTGTGGTTCAGTGGTTGAGCTTTGACCTATGAACCAGGAAATAGAGGTTCAATTCCCAGTCAGGGCACATGCCTGGGTTGTGGGCTCAATCCCCAGTGGGGGCATGCCATAGATAGCTGATCAATGATTCTCTCTCATTACTGATGTTTCTCTCTCTCCCTCTCCCTTCCTC